GGTTCTTGTCTGCCTTGCCTAGTCTTCTGCGCTTTGGGAGACTACTTCTTTGGCTTTAGTTAGCACATCTTTGAAAACAAACCCCAAATGCCAGGTCTCAGTCTTTAGCCGTTGGTCTTATTTCTTCAGCTTTCTTTTAACTCTTCCCTCTAACCTCTTACTCTGTTGTAATCTGTCCTAAAAGGTTTTTTCTTTTCCCTCTAGATCTTTTGCACCACATCCTCTCTCTTTCACCACGGATGATTGCACTGTCCTTTCCAATGCCCCAAATTTTATTCTTCTAGTTCTTTTTTTTGTAGACAGTGCATAACTACCTTCTGTCTCTTATCACCAAATCCACATTTTTAGCTTCTAATTTGAAACCTACATGCATGCCTGTTATCTTTTGCCTTGATAAAACCTCCTCCTGCTTCAGCTGCCTTCTCCCCTTCTCCATTCTCTGCTCGATCCAGATTGTCCCCACAGCCGTTGTGGGCTGCAGCGGGTGTGAGGAGTGCAGCTCCATGGGCTTCACTGACGCTGCAGATTCCTACAGGCTGAGCACTGGCCTGGCACAGTGCATCAGCTCACCGCTGTCCCTTAGAGTGACCGTAGCTGAGAAGAATGACAAATGGATGGATGCTGGTCTGATTTCAAAGGATTAAGTTACTGAAAATGCGTTTGCAGCCTGCCTCAATGTTAAACGTACCAAACCAATATGCAGTTATGGTTACTATTCTTTCTGTCATATCCAACATGCTGGTAATTTGTAGATCAGTGGTCTGGTGCTCTTGTGGCATTCTTATTGCTCACCATTCCTGATCTTCTCAGATTTATGTACAGACTTCCCCATTCAAATTCAATTATTAATCTAATAAGTGGTAACAAAACAATAAAGCTCATGTATTTAAAGTACATTGGCATGTAATAGCTGTGTCTAGGGAACTGACTCTCTCAGATACAGTGAATATCATGGCCTGCAGCTGTTTTCTTCTAATCTCTTTTTTAAAATGTTTGCAAAAGTCTGTATTTGTGATTTCCTACTCCCCTGACTTGAGAAGAGTTAGGAAGTATTTCTCATACTAATGAGACAGACTGAACTCTGGTGTTCCTCGTGGTATCTGACTATAGTTTTCACTGACACCTTCACCACTAATCACCTATCTGTATTTCACAGAACATTAGTTAAGCTATATATTAAACATAAGTCCCAGAGATTGCATTGTAGCCACATTAAGAGTTTCTGAAGAGCATCCCGTTAGGTTCTCAGTGCACTGCAGCCTTAAGATCTAATCAGCATCCCTCTTTGGATTACAAGGAACTCAAAGAAGTTGTTATCCTTATCTGTGTATGATCTTATAATATTTGACTTTCTGTAGACACAATCAGTGCCCTGTCAAGCATTCCCATAGCAAAAGTACATTTGCAGAGAAATAAGCCAAGTAATTGACCTGACAGGATGAGCAACCACTTCCTTTTGAATAGATACTTTGTACACTTAAGGCTGTGATGTGACTGTGTGAGTGGAAAGTTCAAAATGAGCCTTTAATTTATTTCTTTTTGCTCTCACAAGAGGATATATGAGAGAGAGATTTGAATTGATGCAGAGGTAGCAATTCACTGAGGGTTTTGCTTGTGTTGTAAGACAGATGCTCACAGTTTGGTGGACTGTAAACATCATTGGAGTCAAGGGCATGAGATGTGCCTTTGTGCTCACTTCTTGGATGCATGGAATAGATATTTTTCATAAACACATGTGCTAAAAGAGAAATACTTCAGTATGCTATGTTGGAAAATACTGTTTTTTCAAGCTTTTGCTGTTAACATTGTAAATACTGTCTTAGTTTAAGTTAAGGTCTTTTAAAGTGATTATACCATTTTGAATTACTGCTGTTTTCATCATTTTTGTAGTTGTGGCTTTGTAATGGTCACAAAACATATCTAATAGCCTTGGAGCCTTTGCTGCTTTTTCTCAGATAGGATATGATGTAATGCCTCACTCGGTTGCATGCATGAGGACAGAGCAGCTTTTAGATTAACGAAGTGCTGGAACCTCACATGAAGAATGAGATCTGTTCTGTGCTGTAATCTGTGATTCTGTGATCTGTGTGTTCAGTGGCCGAATTCAGTTTTTTCTTTGAATGGGCCCAGGATTTCACCCTGAAACTCTAGGCGAAGGTTGCCATTGGGAAGCTGTAAAACGCAGCTCTAACTTTCATGGATAATTCTTTCTGAAGTGAACACTGGCAGTGCCTGGGATAGGACTGCTCCCATAAGCAAAGGTTACTTATGCAGGATATAAAATCCCGCTTACACTAGATCCTTTCTGCTGGCATCAAGATAGGGCTTATAACTTCATAATGATGTGATCTTGCTGCAAGAGTCACACAATCTATGGGTCAAACTGCCAAAGAAATCCCTGGAGATATCCCCCATGAGAGGGGTGAATACTGTGTGTTCCTACTGCTCTTGGGCTGGATTATTCCTGGGCTAAACCAGCCCTCTACTCCAGAAGACCTGTGGGGTGAGATGGAATCAATCATGTCCTTATATTCATGTACCAAATTGGGAAACTGTTTGTACTCACTTATTCCCATATCTGTGGATTTTAATCTTGATTTAGGAAATGAAAGGAAGGGAGACCTGTGTCCCCTTCCCCTTTCAGTGGACAGGTCGCTTGTGGTTGGCAGTATTGTGTCAGCAGTATGATCACATATAGTATAATAAAGTGACTGTTGCTTACAACAATTTCCCTTCCATCTCCCTCAGGAATCCTACAAATAGTACTGTAGCGTCTGCAAAAAATACCAAGAATGATATAGCAATGTTCTGGAACCTGATGTTGGTGCCAGTGATGTCACTACATCAGGAGGATAAATAAATAAATAAAACATGACATCTTTTCAGCCTTCTAACTTGTAAAAGATGTGAATAGAAATCATTCAGCACAGCCTGTGTAGGTGGCTTTGCATTCCGTTTACAAGTCGTACTCAAGCCTTATTCAATCCAAGCCTGAGTGATCTTGTGTCCTAGGTTACGATGTAAGATGTGCCCAAAAGTATGTATTCTATCACCATCTTCATGAGCTGTTGAGACCAGGTGGGGCAATGTTTCCCTTGCCTCCTCCTTCCAGCGCCACCTCTCCTCCGCTCCTGAGCAAAAAGCCCCTTCCCGCCCCTTTGTCCCAACTTAAATAGGGCAATTCGCAGAGGCGCCAATTTGGCTCAACCTCCCCCGGGGGGGGATGGGACTCAGATCTGGTGGCACAGGGAGCAAATCCCCTCCCCTGCCACCAGAACACCCCCCCCATCAAACTATCGCATCTTGAATTGCTTAAACCAATTATTAATTCATATTTTTTTATTTAGGCATCTCACTGTGGCATTAGTCTTTCTTTTTTCCTTTCCTTCTCTGTACAAAAACAAGTATATGAGTGTAAGGACACATGGAGTCATCAGGCAACAGACATATGCTTTCCTGAGCTCTCTGCAGGGCTTGCAGGTTCAAACACAACCTGCCTGAATCATAAGAACTTTAATTGAGTAGATAAAGAGGTCCTCATAATTATAAACTGCAGTAGGTATAACAAGAGGCTAAATACATAGCTGTGGTTTTAATTAGCTGGTGCTTCAAATTAGTAATTGTGGTTTCACTCAGAAATCAGTGACTTTATACACTGTTAAAGCCTCATCACTGTGCAGTTCATTCCTCATTATATCTCTCGGTGTGAAGCTTTCAATACAACATCACGCTGAGCTAAAAAGGCAAAAGTTGTAGATATTTGGTTATCTTCCAAGTGCAGTGGAGCTCTGTGGAGATTTAATTCATTCTTGCCAGAGTTAGGAGAATTAACTGTTCTTTGTTACATATGTAATATGTATGTTTGTATGTCTGCATTTGTACATAGAGGGTGTGCATGGATGTGTGCGTGCGTGTCCAGAGTCTATCGGGGAAATACTGCTTAAAACAGATAACATCAGTGCATGTACTGAATCTGCTATTCAAATTGTCATCTGGAATTTGGTGGCTAATTAACTGACACAAAGCAGAGCCAAAAGCCTCATAACAAATCAAATATGGGTTGCAAGCACAGAAGTGCCCCTTAATGCCTGTCACATGAGAGGTTGTCAGTGCAAGT